ATCTGTACCTTGGTCCAAAACTACAGCTACAGCTGTTTCAAGGCAGAAAGTGACATATAAAATACTCCTTGTAATTAGAAACTGCATTTGGAGCACTACCACTTTCTTACCTGTCAATGGTTTCCCAATTTTTCTATACAGCTGAACACATACTTAGAACTCTCACTTCCTCCTTTAGCATAGCTAAAAGCTGCAGTTTCTAAAAAGACCACCCTTTCTTCTGACTACATTATTACCCTTCTTTCAAAGTAACTGTTCTGTAGACAGGAAGATAAAGCTCAGAGTTGAGAGAAACACACAAGATGGATGAATGTGATAAAAGCCTATGGGGAGCATAAGTGAGAACATCTTATTCTTCAGCAAACCTTGTCATGTTCTTGGTTATTCACTTCCACCAATATATTTTCATCACAGAACACTCATGAAAGGTGCATTCTTAGGGTAGTTCAGATTGGAAGTGACCTCTAGTTTGCTGCTCTGCTCAATTAAGTCAGTTATGAGATCAGCCTAGTTCCTCAGAGCTTTATCCTCTCATTCCTGAAGAGTCTGCAAGGATGGAACGCATACAAACTGTCTAGGCAACCTATTCCAATCGTTGCCCACCCCCTAGGCAAAGAAAGTTTCGCCTTATAGCCACAATGAAACTTTTGTGCCTGCTATCTCTTGTATTTCCACCACCAGCCACCAAAGAGCTTTTCTGAAGTATTTTTTGTTTGTTTCTTTTTGAAGCCCTAGTAATCCTGAGCTGGATCTTATCAGGCAGATCAAAGGTACAGTAACTGAAGTAAACTCCTAGGGCTAAAGTTGTCCTACTCCCACGTATTTTTGCGAGAAGAGACTTCAACCTAGAAGCTCAATAGGCAGAAATGCATAAACTGCCTAAGAGGCCTGCCTACATACAAAAACAGACACACGTCAAATACTGACATGTAACATTCGCCACCACAAAAGTAAAACTATAAAACTTATACAGTAAAAGCAGTTAATATTTAAGTTAATGTATTTGTTCACAGATATAATTATAGAATAACAGAACAGCTTATGTTAGAAGGGACCTCAAGAATCACCCAGTTCCAACCCCTTGCCATGGGTAGGGCTGCTACCCACCAGATCAGGCTGCCCAGAGCCCCATCCAACCTGGCCTTGAACACCTCCAGGGATGGGGCATCTACAGTTTTCTGTGCAACCTCTTCCAGTGCCTTACCACTCTCTCAGTAAATTAAAAAAAAAAAGAAAAAAACTGCCATACCATCTAACCTAGATCTCCCCTTCTTACAGTTTAAAATCACTCTCCCTCTGTCCTATCACCATCTGCCCACATAAAAAGTCAATATACAAGCCACGTGTCCATTTATTTTAAGATTAAGGCTAGTATACATTACCTTCAGCAATTTCTCTAAATTTTGCTTCTGCACCAGGACTCTTATTTTTATCTGGGTGGTATTTCATTGCCAGTTTGTGAAATGCCTTCTTGATCTGGCGATCAGATGCATTTTTTGGAACTCCTAAGATATCGTAATAGCTCTCTGTAGCCAGTATTAGCTCAGTTATCATCAAAATGCAGAGAGCAAACGTGAAGATAGATTGCGTAGTTGCCATTTCTGTGGTTTCTAGAAAGAAAAAATAAACATACTTGAACAAGTTATTTCAGGTTCCACAGCAACTTAAAGAAAAGGTACAACTATAAGCTGAAAGAATACAACATGTATTTTTCATGAGTCACTTTGACAGATATATAAACAAGTTTTTCAAATCACATTGAGAAGTCCCATCCTTTAGCTTTATAAACAAAGAACATGCGAACAGAAATCCTGCAAATTCATATTCCACATCTATCACTGCTATGTTTTGCTGTTGTTTTTTTTGTCTTTTTTGTTTGTTTGTTTGTTTTTAAACATTGCCTATGCATTCCCTCAACAGCTAGAAACTGGACTATGAATTAAATTCACAATGCCTTTCACTGCAACAACAAACAGTTTATGCTGACAAACCTGGACTAACTTTGAACTAAATCTTGAGTTCTAGGATCACAAACACAGTTACTCTAAATTAGAGTGTAATTTTCAAAATATACTGAATACACTGGCAGAATGATTCACTGGTAAGCTTGAGCAACAATAAGAACTTGAAAACACAGCAAGACTAAAAATCAACTTTCAGATACAGGAAATGAAGACTGGTAGACACTAACACTCAACTTCAGGTCATTTAACTGGCCTAAGTTGAACATGATAAAAACAGAACACTCATCTAGAGTACAGAGTTCAGACAAGTAGGAAACTTCTTCCACTGCTTACAGTAGGTTGGACTTAATTTGCTTTCATATTAGACTGTGCTTGAAATAAAAACACCTATCAAACCTCTGATATAAAGGAATTTATCTGATAAATATCACTGCATATAATAGGTTTACACACCCAATTCTCAATGCATTAACTGAACTCAAAAAGCAGTTCTCTACACAAGGCAAAATATGGTGCTGTTTCCTGAAAGTTTATAAACTAATCTTACAGTCTGAGCATTACGAAAGCTAGCACACTTTAACTTTAGTTGGTACACAACCCAAACATTTGTTCTTCAAAGTTTTTTTTTTTTAAATGTGTATCAAGTAAATGAGACAACTCAGTCTTTAAATAGGAAGTCCAAACCCTCTAAACTAAATTCATATACAAGCACAAAAAATGTCTAAAACCACGTTTCTAAGAGATAGATCAAGGGGCTAAAATGAATGTAGTGAGGTCAGAGCAAAAAGCTCATGCAAGATTAACGTACCCATGCCCTCTTAAGCATTTATTTGGCTAGCAGCCTGCATGATATCAAATGTTATGGAGTAGCAGTCGAAACAAATTGCATTTTCATCAGTATATCTAGACACCAAATGGGCATCTTTGCCATATTCCTCTTGCATGATACCAGACAGATTTTCAGCACAAGAAACTTCTCACGTTTTTTCCACATATTCTTTCCCACCAATTCACTCATCTGAAACTTTCCCACCTGGACACCAAGACCTACACACACATCCATCCCTCCCCACCTTCTGTGCTTTCCTTCTGCTTTGCACATACAGATTTTTGTCTTCTTAACGTGCCAGAAACCAATTATGTACGCAGAGACCAATTATGTATGCACAATGTGAGGAATATGAGGAAACAAAGACATTCTGCTTCATTCTCCTGGAATGGCAGGGAGGTGGCTAACCTCCCTGCTTCTACTATTAAACACTAAATGGAGCTGAAGAAGAGTTGCCTACCGCCTTCATTAATGACAAACTCTCTCAGAACCCATGCTTTTCAGTCCGAGAACACCAACTCACTCACTAGGTTTTTGCTCTACACAAACCTCTCCATTTATATTATTATTTATAAGAATTATGCTTAGGTTTCTCTTTCACTACAGCTTTACTTTAGGATTTTGGCAATGCCATTCTACGCTCCATTGCTCCTAGCTCTACTTAAATTTCTATGGGCTTTTTTCCCCATTAATTTGTAAAGTCAATCAAAAATTTCTTTGCATTCAAAAAGACGCTTCTGTGAAAACCTCTCAAATCTTTTAAGCCAGAAAGAAAAAGAGAGGCTCAAATGAAGCAATAAAACAAATGAAAATCAAATATAAATGGAACTCAAATGTAAGCAGTGTTTTATCCTAAGTCTTGTATTTATGTTACCTACATATTTTGAATTAACCAAAGATATTGGATTTTTTTCCTCACAGAACAACTGTTTGATATGCAGTCAGTATCTCAGTGGTGCTATTGCCAATTAAGACAAAACTAAAGGCCAGGTTTGACTTCTCACGCCCATCAACCCCAACTATTTTCACAACTGCTTTCATAATGAAGTCTCTTTTAAATACTTACTCCGTATGTTTCTTCTCCCTCAGCTTCCCCAGTGAAGGGAAAAGTTTCACTTCCTAGGCTTTCTCCAGTAATTATGAATTCTCAAATAAGTTCTGCATGCTGCCTGGCATTAGGCTTATTCGACAGAACAGCCCCCCCCAGCTACAGCGCAGAATGCTGTTAGGAGCCAGATTTTATTTGGGTACATCTAGCAACAAAGTGGGACATTTTATGACAGCAGATTAAGCACTTGACTCAATTAGATACGTAATTACAGATCTCGACTGCTATTCAGCGCGGTATAAAAAGCACAGTAACGTCTATCAGAAGCACTGCAGAGATGACAGTGCTCAGTTGGTTATCAGTTTATCAGCAGCGCGGGTTTCATCCAGGCATGGCAGGCAGCGTTTGTCACACACACAAAACAGAGCAGCCCCTTCCAACTCGCAACGCCAGCTCTCCATTTACTTCAACGTTCGTCAAGCCTCGCACGCTCATAAACCCCACACATCACCGTTCTGACTACACGCAGCGCGAGTTTGATTTCGCATTATTACCTTCCCAAGCGATTTATTACCGGCAAGAAAGTTCCCCAAGTTTCCCAGTGGCTGCCATTAGGTATAACGCGACGATTCAGCCCGCCCCGCGGCCAGCACAGCCCCCTGCAGCACTCTGGGCTCGGCTTCTCCCCCCTCCCCGCAGGCAGACCCGGGAGCTGAGAGGAACAGAGCGCGGCGGGACGCTGCTCCAAGCCAGGCTACAGCGGGCGGGCCTACCGAGGAGCTGCAGCCCAGAGAAGCGAACAAACAAACCCACCGCTGGAGGCCCAGCGACCCCACGCCGCCCCGTGCTGCCCCCTCAGCGCCTCGTAACCCCTTCGCTCCCTCCGCGCACCGCCACCCGCTTCGCCCCCTCCAGCCTCGGCACCGCTTCGCCTCCTCCCAACCCTCCGACGGCGGCCCCGCCGCCCCTCACCTCGCCTCAGCGCCGCCCGCACTGAGGCCGCTGCCCCGCAGCGTCTCGCGCCACTCCCGCCCAACAGCCGCCGGCGCGCGCGCAGTGCGCTCCCCCGCACCCCGCCGGCCGTTCCTACACGAAGCGCTGCGCCATTGGTCCGCCGGCGCCACGTGACGCGGGGCCCTCGCCGGGCGGGGCGTCCCCCGGCACGAGGGGCGGGAGCGGTGGCCGTCGTCCCCGTGACCGCCGCCCCCCGCGCCCCCCGCTGGCGCCGCACGGACGGTTCCGGGCCGCGCCGCCATGCCGCGGTATTGTGCCGCGTCCTGCTGCAAGAACCGCGGCGGGCAGAGCGCCAGGGACCAGCGCAAGCTCAGCTTCTACCCGTGAGTGAACGCGTAGGGGGACAGGGATCGCCGAGCCGCCCCCGGAGGTGGCGAACTGCGGGTGGGCAGCGCTGGGGGAGGCCCGGCCCTTGGGAGAGCGGGAGGCGACGCTCCCCGGTACTTACAGACCGGGGCCGAAAGGATGAGGGGAAGGTGTCGAAGTGCCAGCTGCGCTGCCGCCGCGCGGTTCGGCTCTCCGCGCTGGGGACGCTTCGGCGGGAGCCGCGATCCGGAGGCGTGGGCTGGGCGGGGGGAGCTGCGGGCAGCTCCGAGCCCGGCTGCGAGCGAGCGCGTCCCGTCCTTCGCGGGAAGCGTCAGCGCTAGAATTGCCGTCTGGTCTGCGCTGCAGCCAGGAGCCTCGGTGGGCGGATGGAGGCCGCTGGGCTGCCCGCAGGCTCTCCAGCCTGTTTATCAAAACGGCTCCGCGCTGGTGTCGGTCCCAGAGCTCAGCGCACCGGCGTCAGCCCTTGGGAGGTGAGGGAGGGGGGTGTAGCAAAATGTCGGTGCGTTTCTGCCGAAGGAAAGCGCAGTGAGCAGCTGTCTTTGCGGAGAATTTTCTAGCGTTTGAAAAATATAGATTGAGGAATCGATTTCACAGTCAACTGGAAAAACTTGTTTTGATATGACTCTCCAAGTTTTAGAATATTCCAAGTTGGAAGAGACCCATAGGAATGATCGAGTGGCTCCACACAGGACCACCCAAAAATCAGAGTGTATATCTAACAATGTTGTCCAGACACTCCGTGAACTCTGGCAGACCAGTGCTGTGATTACTGCCCTGGGCACAGCCTGTTCCATGCCCACTGCCCTGTGGTGAAGAATCTTTTCCTAATCCCCAAACTGAGCCTCCTCTGATGCAGCACCATGCTGTTCCATTGAGCCCTGTGCTGTCACAGAGAGATCAGCACCTGCCCCTCTGCTCCCCTCCTGAGGAAGCTGTAGGTTGTCATGAGGCCTCTCCTCAGTCTGCTCTTCTCTGGGCTGAAGAAACCTAAGCACGCTGTTGATTCGTGTTCAACTTGCTGTCAACAAAGACCCCCCAGTATCTTTCAGCAGGGCTACTTTAAACTAACTCAGGGTCTGCTGTGATAGAGCAAGGAGAAATGGTTTCAAGCTTAAGGAAGGTAGATTTAAGTTAGATATAAGGAAAAAGTCTTCTACAGTGAGGGTGGTGAGGCACTGGAACAGGTTGCCCAGAGATGTGGAGGATGCCCCCCCTCTGAAGATTTTCAAGGCAAGGCTGGATCAGACCCTGAGCAACCTGATCTGGCTGTGTGTGTCCCTGTTCACTGTGGGGAAGCTGGACTAGATGACCTTTAAAGGTCCTTTCCAACCCTAAGGATTTTGTGATTCTGACTTGTAAGTTTATTGCAGTCATTGTTATTCCAGGATGAGGCAGGCCATGTAGGAATACCCACAGGAAGACAACTTTGAAAAGGGCTTTAGTTTCAATTGAAGGAAACCACATAACCTTGAATGTATATAGCACATGATTCAGCAGTGCATGTTATCACCATAAAATGATCATGAAAATGAGTGGAAATAAATTATTCATATTGCTTTAGGAAATGTGAGTGCCACATGGATAATCAAAACAAGTTTGAGTTATGGTACATATTTGTATTCAAATGTATGCCATCAATATGAAGATGATTTCAAAAGCACAGCTGTTTTATGCAGCCATTGAATTGTGCTGTGTTATGAGTAACAAACACAGTTCCGCAGAAGAGGTGCTGAGACTCATTCACAACAGAGAACAGGTTCTGATGATGGGGCAAGGGGGCACTGAGAGCAAGAGCAAGTTCTGGTAAAGTTATTTTTTTACTAAAATAACAAATTGTGCTGCCAGACCTCATCTCTCACTGCAGACTTTTTGTTTGTTTGTTTCTTGATCTGAAGCTGCCTGATGGTGCAGAAGGCAGTGGGTGCTGTGTTGCTACGGTTCTGGCAAAGGAATCAAATACTCTCAAGCCTTCTTGAGATGCTGTGCTTGGTGACATCACCTTCAGCTGAAAGACATCATCCTCTTTCTGAGGAATTTGTTTGGACTATGTAGAACCATCCCAGGCTAAGCTCTGTTACTCATGAGACATGCTGTATAATGTATGTAGTGTTGCTACTGGGTGCATACAATCTAAGCAGACAGAATTTGAAAAGACAGCCTCTCACCTGTCCTTGAGAGGTTATCTTGGTTTTGCTAGCACTGTTCTGTGCACTCCTGCATATACTCTGAGCCAAACGGATCATCAGTTTGCTCTCTGTTCTTGGTAACTTGGAAATTTAAATGGCAATGAATATGAAAGATGGGGAAAAGAAGGCTGTGGGGTGACCTCATTGCAGCTTTTCAGTACCTAAAGGGAGCCTACAAACAGGAGTGGAATCAATTCTTTGAAAGGGTGAGTGACAGCAGGACAAGGGGAAATGGTTTGAAGTTGAGGGAAGGGAGATTTAGGTTGGACATCAGGGGGAAATTCTTTACGGAGAGAGTGGTGAGGTGCTGGAACAGGCTGCCCAGAGAGGTTGTGGATGCCTCATCCCTGGAGGTGTTCAAGGCCAGATTGGATGGGGCCCTGGGCAGCCTGGTCTAGCATTAGGTGGGAAGGTTGCATGTGGCAGGGGGGTTGGAGATTCACGATCCTTGAGGTCCCTTCCAACCCTGGCAATTCTGTGATTCTGTGAAGAACTGCACATTTATCCCATAAATCTAAGATATCTTTCTCTCAAAATTGGCTAAGTTTGCAGTTTTAGGACATTTGTGGGTCTGCAGAGGGGAGTTATTGCCATGTGTGATTATTGAGGAAAACCACAGGCTAAGAAGTTCAAGGGTTTGCCAAGAGTTGACCTTTAGTAGAATTTGTGTGGCATACAACAATGGCCCTTGCCATTCTATGTTCTCTCTTCAGCTTTGTGCAAGTACTTCACTTACGAACATTTTTTTGCACACTGTTACTGTGGTCTATTTATGTATGGTAATAAATAATACTAAAAGAATTGGTTGCTAATTAAAAGGACAAATCATCTATTTGGATAGTAAAACTGCTTTAATGAAGCTGCAGGCACTTGTTAACAGGTGGATGTTGTCCTTCACGCTGCCAGTATCTGATTCTCTTTACGTCCTACAGTTACGAGCAGGTCAAATTTGATGACCCAATGAATTTGTCACTTACAATATCATTTACTCAAAAGCATAGCTTTTTGGGTTTTTTTTCACAGTTATTATTGTTCATGACAGCTCTGCTGTGAAAGACTTAGGGATTGTGGTAGATGAAAAACCTAACATGTGCCAGCAGCATGTACTCACAGCTTAGAAGGCCGACTGGATCCTGGGCTGCATCAGAAGAGCAGGGAGAGGGAGGTGATTGTCCCTCTCTGCTCTGCCCTTGTGAAACCCCGTGTGGAGTACTGTGTCCAGGCCTGGGGCCTCAGCACAAGAAGGAAGATGTGGAGCTCTTGGAGTGGGTTCAGAGAAGGGCATGAAGATGATCATAGGGCTGTAGCACCTCTCCTACAAAGTCGGACTGAGGGAGCTTGTCTTGTTCAGCCTGGAGAAAAGAAGGCTCTTGGGAGACCTTGTCCTGGTCTTCCAATATTTAAAGGGAAATTATAAACAGGAGGAAATCAACTTTTTACACAGTAGATAGTAGAAGTACAAGGAGGAATGGCTTTAAACTAGAAGATGAGTGATTTTGATTAGGTGTCAGGGGGAAATTTTTCATTCAGAGAATGGTGAGGTGCAGGAACAGGTTGCCTGGAGAGGTTGTGGATACCCCATCCCTGGAGGTGTTCAAGGCCAGGTTGGGTGGGACACTGGGCATCCTGGTCTAGTGTCTAGCAATCCTGCCCATGGCTGGGGAGTTGGTACAAGAGCTCATAGTGGTCTGGATGTTTGTATTGCCATTACCATAATAACTTGGCTTTTCATGCATCGTAACAAGCATTTAGTTTCTCTTTAACTTTTGTGTATTGTTATTCATTGAGTAAAAAACGCATCTTTGCTCACTTTGTTTTAATTTAGTTCTCTTTCCCATAGTTTGACTGCTTGCATATATTTTCAGGTTCAATTTTATATGCATATTTCAATAACACTGTATAATCTTCATTTTCAAGTAGGTTAGATGGTTGCAAAGCTAATGATGGATTACACGACATTGGGTACTGAACACTGTGAGAAAGCTTAAGTTCTGAAACAACATGGAGAAATGTTTTGTTTTGGTGTGTATTTATGTCTTTAATGAAAGTTAGATCCTGCAGGGGAAATATTATTCACATTTCTAAGTGATTCAACAGTCGTAAGTATGATGTATACTAAGCAGTACTTTGTTAAATAAAAAAAGAAAAATAACAAAAGTTTTTGATGCTTAATTTGTATAGTAAGATTAAAAAAAGAAAAGCTCCACAAATAGTATTATTAGAGTAAGGACTAGACCTTACATTTTCTTAATGAAATTAGTATTTCCTGGCATCAGGAGAACTTTTTCAGCAAGCATTACAGAATTGAGAGTTTTAAACACATTGGCCTGAAGGTCTGAAGTCCTTGACCAGAAGAAATCAATAGAAATTCTGCTGGACTCTTGAGCTGATATCCACTAGAAATCATTTGGTTGAATAGTGGATTAACATGTAAGTGACAGGATTTTCTGAGGCAGGGAGGAGCTGGATTAAAATGAAAAAGAAAGGAATTACTAGAATTCCCTGAAAGGAATTTAAATAAGGAAGGACAGCCTTGTAAGAAATAATAAATGATGCTCTTTGTTTTCTTTTTAACATAAAGAAATTTCTAACAAATAACAGTTTTTTGCCTTTTCTCCCCCTTAACTGTTTTAAAAAAGATTTCCACTTCATGATAAAGAGAGACTTGAGAAATGGTTGCGGAACATGAAACGCGATGCGTGGACTCCAAGTAAGCACCAGCTTCTGTGCAGTGATCATTTTACCCCTGATTCCCTTGATGTGCGATGGGGTATAAGATACTTGAAACATACAGCTGTACCAACAATTTTCTCTTCCCCGGATGATGAGGTAACATTTCCCTATCTTTTTTACAATAGTAGAAATCTAAACAACTGTTTATGCAATAATATGTTCTAGTTATTGTTAATATAATCATAGTTTATTTTAAAAATAAAAATCTCTCCATCAAAATATTTTATTAATGAAACTGACGCAAAACTAGCATGTAATTCCATAGTGTAAAGGAAAAATGGCTGCTTTGACTAGAGGTTCAGTATTATTTTATAACTGGAAATTGAAGAAATATTTTCTTTAGGAAGAAAATAATTTCCTATGAGAATATTGTAAGTATCTTTCTACTGTGCAATTATTCCTTATAATCAAATGCTCTTTTAAAGCCTTCTGTTAACAAACTATACGTAATTACTGACTACAGAATATTTTATTTTCAAACTCCATGTTTCTTATTCCTGTTAATAGCCTCTCAAGCACTTGTAGGCTATTGAAGATATACTACAAAGGCTGTTCCATCTGTCCTGTCACAGAGCTGTGAAAAAATACACTGAATATTTTTGTTTCAGTGACTGCTATCAAAAGCTTGTTTGGATACTGATCTTAAATCTAATCATGTGATGATATAGTTTATTATTGAGTTTTTATCTTCTTATTTTTTTCTGCTATTGATAAGTTCTCTCTGAGGTAGACTGCCTGACTAAAAAATAGTTGCTGAAACAACTTCGTTGCATCTTTAAAGCAATAGTTTTGTACTGTGGATCTTTAATACACATGTATTTAATACAGTGTTTCAGTTGTAATAAGGAATGGTAATCAGTCTTGGGTGTTTTTCTGGTTACATAGTGTAATTTTTTTTATTTTTTTATTTTTTCTCCTTCAGGAAAAAGACTCTTCTCAAAACAGCCCACAAGAGATAAAGAGAGAAGTCCTGGAAGAAACCACTAAAAATGTAGAGTCTAAGAAAGTACCCTTATCACTTGAACTTTGTACACCAAAGAAAAGTTCTGTGACTGCAGAAGACCCAGGTAAAAAAGAAGTAATTTGCTCAACTGTATTGAGCAAATCTTTACAAGTACAGAAACTACAACTTGAAAACAGAAAAGACTTTGAAACAGACAGTATCATTCTTGATAATTCATCTCAGCAGCATATACATCAACCTGAGCCTGTTTTAATGGCAGCAGCAGTCCAGAATGTGGAAGCTACTGATGTTCATGCATCTGTAGAAGTTCCAGTAAATTGTACAGCTACAGTCTTGCAATTTTCAGACCCTGACTACTTGAATTCATCTGTGAAACTGAAAAATACTCTGGGTTCAATTACTGACTATTCACTTGAAAATCCAAACTCTCATGTTGTAGGCTGTTCTGTTGAAGTGCAACCGACAACTGAAAATGCAGTTTTGGTCAGTACAGTCACACAAACTTTTGAACAGCTCAATGGAAGTGAGGAATCTGTCATTGCTATCATTGTACCAGCTGAGAGTCCAAAAGAGCCTGAAATAATAAACAGATCTTTCTTGCCTATTAAACAAGAATTTCTCGACACAGAAGAAGCAGAAACAGATAATTCTCTGCATATGAATGCATATAATGGAATTGAAATATTACAAACTGAGCATTCATACTGCAAGCAAGACATAGACAGAGAGCATCTCTGGCAAAAAATTTCAAAGCTCCACTCTAAGATAACTCTACTTGAAATGCAGGAGGTAAAAACTTTGGGGAGACTCAGGTCCTTGGAAGCTCTTATTGGACAATTGAAGCAAGAAAACCTGCTTTCTGAAGAAAAGCTCAAGATCGTAGAAAACTGCTTCACAACACTTGAAGTGACTATGATACAGTAAAGGTTTTGAATGGTTGTTCTTAAGTATCTTTTTAGCTTCTCTGACTGTCCTTTTGTACAAATTAACTTTTGTTTCAGTCATGATACTTTAAGTATTTAATGCAAACTGTGAACAGCAAATGTTCTTTAAAATGTTACATCAACCTCTGCAAATCTTAGCTGGTAGACAGTTGCCCATAAAACGTGACTTGAAAGTGAGTTTTAAAAGAAAAACAAAGCCTGTCTCATTAAAGTGTATGAGGTGAATCAGTAAAAATGAGTCAGGCTTTTCCAGGTGAGGCTTCGCTGAGACATGCAAGTTTTGCATTTGGGACAAAAGCATTAGAATGGATTTTCATAACTATGTAGAAGGGACAATTATGAAGCAGTTGTTTAAAAAAATAAAAATTGTCCTGATTCTCTTTCACATGAGTAAAGAGGTATGTATTGTCCAGTGAAGTTACATTACTCTTTAGTCTTTTATCTGTCTAGTGTTCATTGATAGTTTTTGTATACTTTGACTCTATTAAATTTTTCTTCAATAAATGTTGTGTCCTTTCATTTTGTTTTGTTGGTTTTTTTTTTTCCTAAGGTAGTATTATTAGAATGAACAGATCTTTCTCCTCTTTTTGGTATGTTGGAATATTCTACTCAAATGGAAGGAATTATCTTAAAATAGTGACTGTTTTATGATTAAAGAGGAAAGTTGTAAATATTCAGTGAGTGCTATCTACTCAGCTTTGATTGTCGTGCAACCTAATGCATAAATTCATAGATCCTTAATAATACACTGAAGAAAACAGCATTTTGCAGAGCAAATTGCTGTAAAAGTAGCAGTGCACTATTTTTCTGTAACTTATTCTTTGAAAAATTAATTATGAGATTAAAAATTTGGTCCCCTTTATTGATACTATGAACTGTTTCTAGTGCACAGGACATGAATGCGTTGGAAATATACTGATAATCTGTTGTGAGGGAAATGAATTTTCGTAAATACTTACTGCTTATTCTGTCAGCATGCCAACCCTTAAGACTTAGAATTTTGATGTGCAACAATTAGAGTTCTTCAGGGACTTCTAGGTACTTTCCTATATTCAGATGTCCTCACCCAATACCAATTCAGTGTAGGATTGGATTTAATGTGTTCTTCTGCAGTCAATTGGCTGCATTCCCTGTCGGATGCATTCTGCATCTGGGGAATTTTTTTTTAATTAAGTAATTGAGGATCTAGCAGCATGATTTACAAAACTAGTCAAATTTCAGGAAAAATTCCCAGTGTTAACACTAAGAACTATTTGTGGCATAGATATCTATAAAGATGGGGGAAAAGAAAAGAAATTTTCCTTTTTTTAGGGAGTTTATTGAGGATAGAAGAAAAGTTCCGTATTTTTAGAAGCACTCACCAAGCCTACAAATTTCTCCTTTGTAGGGTGGTTTGAACTAATGGGACCTGGGTGGACGTAGATGACCCTCTGCACACAACTTTTTATGCCAGGTAGGCCTCAGGTGAGAAAAGCTAGATGTAGGCCTTAATGACCTGTTACCCTAAATGCTATCCAAAGTAACTGCTGCTCTTTTAACAAGCAGGATATTATTTACTTTATTTTTCAATGATCTTTTTTTAAAAGGTATTTAACATTAGAATAGATGTTAAATAGCATAACATTCTATTAACCTTGTGTTTTCAAGCAGGACTTTACATATTTAGGTTAAAATGTACCAGTTTTCCTTAATCCTGAATTTCTGTCTTGTTCTCTGTGTCAGATCATGGTGCATCTCATCTAGGTTTGTGATTTCTGCAGCAACAGCCAGCACTGCATATTGAACTTAAATAAATAAAGTCAGTTGAAAATGATCATTTTGTATGCAGTCTTTCTCAGGGCCAGTCCTATGATGATAAAGAGGCTGAACCACCATATAACAATATGCAGCTTGAAGGAAAACCAGAATCAGGACTGTTTTGTAAATCACTGTTGCAAATTTACTCTGATAAATTATTTTGGGCAAAGAACTTTGTGTATTTTGAAATGAATTCAGTATTATAGCTGACTTTGTTTGCTTACAGGAAAATATAGCTAAGGGCTTAGCTTCAGCAGTATGCCAACACTGACTTACTCAAGCTAATCATTATAAATAAAGAAATGTGCTATGTGTACTATGTTGGAAATAGCCACATATCACTAGTTAAATGCTACATGCATGTCTTGTTCTCAGTGTCTCCCAATTATAAAGCTGTATAAATGTTTCTACTAAGCTTCATGTACTCTCAAAGGGGCTATATTATTCCTTGGGATCTCAACTGGTATCATATTAGTAGATTAAATCATTAAAACTTTTGTAATGTACCAAACTTATCTTGATCAAAATAATCTTATCTTTTTGATAACTTTACATTTGCATCAACATTTTTTTATCTTGACTACCTGTTTTCACCAATGTAATTACTTTGACATTTTCAAATTTAACATGTCAACTATTTAATCTATCTTTTGAACTTTTAAGCTGTATTTGTTTTCTTCTGGCTACCGCAGGAATTTGGCATTTGGCTTCCTCTTACATCTTCATTTAAATTCCACCAGTCCTATTAAACTAACAGATGAGCAATGTATCTCCATATGGAATCAACCGATGCCCATTTTTTCTAGTTTTTAATTTTCTTTACAAACTGGTTCATTTAACTCAATCTGAATGAAGTAGAGTTACAGGGGTTATTTTCTTTCTGGCAAACTAATGAGTATCTGGGATTTCTTGCATCAGTAGTGACTGCACTCTTCCATGCTTTGTGAGCATTCATTAGGAGTCTGTCTAGACCTCTCTTTAGATGTCTTCAGTTACTCTCCTTTACCTTGGTGAGATTATATTTATTCTTCCTTCCCAATTAAATCCTCTCCTTCTCTGAACTTTGGCTCCAATTTTAGAAAACTTGGATGCTGTCTCACTAGATACCGTCTTTTCAGCAAACTTGAAGCTACATATGGCATTTTTAAAAACTGCACTTCTGTCCATCTCCCACCTCCTTCTGCAATAGCCTGATTACCTCGCCACGCTTTGATCCAAACTGCTTTGTGTTCAACTTGATGCTTCCTCTCACTTGATAATGCTGCTTAATTGCAGTGGTTAGCAAAGCACTGGGCACACCTGGGCTCTGCTCTTCCATGTTGCAGTGATGTAGTATAACACTGATGAACTCCATCACATAGCTAGGTGAGCACTCATGCAGACAGAGATTTTTGGGTTCCTACAGCCATAATTATTCAGTTGTGTCAGTGACAGCAGTGGATTTAATTTAGCAGGATGCATTATTCCCAGACTCTGAGCAGATCCTTTACTCTCAGTTGTTTCAAACTTTATTGATAGAATATGGCAAAGAAATCCAGAGCCTGCTCATGTGGGAAAAAGATACCAGGAAAGACCCAGCCTGCTTTCAGAGGAAATCCAGAAGACATCATGAGCAGCAGCTTGACGATTCTCTGTCTTCCCAGGCAGAACTAGAAATTCTCATCCACTCTCAAGGGAAGATGCAAGGGGCAGGCTGTGCTGAGTGACTCAGGCCACTTCCCTTGTGTGAACTCCAAAAGCAAGAAGCTGTGCACCATATATATCGGAAAGCTGGAAAGTGGCATTTGCACATCAGAACCCTGCAAAAGATGCTCGGAGCTATTCTGTGGGGATGAAAAGGAAAGAATGGGCTTTGGCATTTAGGGTTCCTGCCTGGGAAAAGTTTCTTTTTTAGGATCCCACGCACCAAGAACCTCTCAAAGCTACAGGGAAAGCTCAGTAATGCCCTGGGGGGTGGGATGGGCTACTAGCACCAAGGCAGGAGAGAAAGGAAAGAGAAAATGAGACTGTATGCTTTTATGAACTAAAATTAGACTTTAACTTGGACACAGAATATATTTTCCTTTGCTGAATTAACAGAGGACTTTATGACCAAACACAAGCTGAAACTTTTAGAATTTTATTCACACTAAATCATGTAAAATACCACCACTCTATTTTTTCCTTTACTGAAGTGAGTGTCATGATTGTCAGATTTACCAAGCCATTTACTCCTGCTGTGAAGAGATTAATTTCTCCCCGAATATTTTTCCAGAAATAAAACATTAACAATCAGAACTCTAAGCAAACATTTTTTTCCAGTTGCATTATTATGTATTATGGGATATATTGCTGAAAGCCTGGCAGTGTTTCAATATATGGTTTTCTTGCAGAGGTCATTTAGAAGAGTATCTCTGAAAGGATAAAACCATTTTATAATAAGCCTCATCCATTCATACAGGTCAAGCTGTATAGATTATTCTGGAATACGTTATTTGATTTGATATATCCAGATCTCATATATAGAAAGCAGTGTTCCATATAAACAGCAGGTGGCGCTACCGGTCTGTGCTATAGAAATCCGCCTAAACATTTCATTTTCATTCTGCTGCCAGAAACCCATGCAAACAGATTAACTATGCAAGGATTTTTTTTTCCCCCTTATTCATCATATGTATATGTAATAAAGTAAGTTATTATCTGAATAAAACAGCGTGACTAATTTTCCTCAGTTTTACAGAAGTAAAGCTTCAGAGAAGAAACTCATTTGAAATCTGAGCAAAAATGATGAAATTCAAGAGCCTTCTGCTCAAGAGAGTGGTAAAAGATCAATTCATTGTCTCCATGGAGCATGACTGCATTCCTCATTTGTTGAAGTGGGTCAGTGATTAAAGTTTGCCTCCCTTAAACAGTTTAGCATTGCTTGTTTGCATATTAATCAGGGTAATTATGTGAGTGTTTAATCACAGCCTTCATCAAGAGTGTCTGTTTTGCAACACAAGCACTATGGCCATGTTGTTGTAACTGGAAAGTTGCATGCACAATGGTTTTATGCATGACTCCATTCCCTCTTAAGATCTTGTGGAACAGACTTTGTGCTGAGAATACACAATTTCAAACGCTGTGAACAGTACTGCTATTGGGGAAACATGGTCCTGCATACTCTAAAAAGTGTTTTCCTGCTTATTTCTGTGTTGGTTTCAAAATACAAAAGACAACAGGGTGTTACAGTACATGTCAGAAGTATCTGTGTGTTGTATGTTTACAGAATCACAGAATCACAGAATCACTAAGGTTGGAAAAGACCTATAAGATCATCCAGTCCAACCATCCACCTATCACCAATGGTTCTCGCTGGCAGACAGCATTAACACAGTGCCAACCAAAGCCATGATGCCGTGGGATTTTCTGAATGAATGGAACAGGTCTACAGGACAGTCATGGCAAAAACAGATGGTGAAGAAAGCTGTGCCTAGGAATACTCTGTGTTTAGAGGCATAAAATTGCCTCAAGGGTAGTTGCAGATTCTCTGGGTTTACAGAAAGTAGTGTTCAGCCTTTTGTTTTCTGATCAAATGCAGCAGAAACCAAAACCAGAGTAATGGACCTCTACCATGGCCTCTCGATAGGAGTCATCTTGCCTGACTCTGGATATCTCCGTCATGAGGTGCTCCTCCATTAAGCAGTATCTAATGTCTCTGTTAAAAAAAAATGAATGGAGGAAATGCATATTTATCTACTGATTATGGCCAATAGGATGTTTTAGACAAAAATATTTCATACCTGGAGCTAGCTAAAAAGAATGCCACCTTGTGTTTCGAGAAGTAAATCAGATAGTTGTTAGAAAGGTGTAAATTAGAAGAACTAAATCTTAGTTGAAAGGATCTTGACAAGGCAGTTGTTCCAAATTGTGACTTCATGTCCTTTGTATCAGTGACAAGAGGAAGGTATTTAAAACTTTCTAGAAGGGCTTCTGTTCAGATACATTATGTATATAGTTCCAGGTTGATTTTTTTTCTTTTTTTCCTTTTTTCTATTCTTTCTTTTTTTTCCTGGTGAGTTTGAAAGAAATCTTTCCATGTAGGAAATTTGGATAAGTAAGAAAACTGATTCAACAGGCACCTCGTTTAGGCAGAGTTGTATCTGAGGCATAGTTCTGAGTCCTCACAAGGTGAGCTCTGCATTGCTTCATGAATAACATAAATGAAAGTCATCAGGCATCTTATAGCCCCTTGAGATGGAAAATGACTTTGTGCCTGCTGTAGGCTTCAAGTCAAAGCAGCATCAAACACCATGAAAACGTCTTTTTCAGCTATGTCTGCTTAGGTAAGCACATTATAGATCATAGATACCATTAGTTTCACCTTCACTCTGAGTCAATAGACCATAAGGCTGCATAAGAATGGGTTTTGGGAGCCCTCAGTGACTAGAATGGTGACCATTTGGAGATGGGGAATAATAAAAATATGAGGGCTGTAGTTTTGCAACATGCAAAATACATCAAACCCTTTGGATATCATACCAGTCAGCAGATGATATTAAATTTACATCAAAGCCCTGTATTGAGTGTTTTACATGATAAGAAATCCTGTACTGT